TATTTCAGATGAAAACGCAAGCGTTGACAAACGGCCTCCAGAGTGGAACAGAACACATACGGTGTTTCACAGCTGTGTGAAGAAAAACGTGTGAATTCTCCTCTGCTATGACCTCAGCACCTCCCCGCACGTACAATTGAACTTTTGTCGGCTGCTGTAGGTTGTTCAGGAACCTGTTGTTCTGTGGTTAGTGCTCCTTTGTTGGCAGCGGCGGATTCTGAGAAGTCCTTGGATAAGTTCCAGGGCATTAGTCTCCATGACAGAACGCTCTGAGACTGTCCCAAACCCAAATCCTCTCCTGGACCTCTGCGTGTTTACTCCAGCTTGTTCCTCACAGGTCACAAGCCACAGAGAGCCTTCTGGCAAACCTCTGGTGTGAGGGCAAGTGCGTTACATCCCAAGATGTACCCAAGCTTTTTACATAAAGTCGCTTTGCATAATAGGGTCACCTTTTAAAGAACACATACTACGCTTCATTCATTTCCATTATAACAGTTAAAATGTGAAGCCAATACTACCTCAGTCATCCACCTTCACATCTTTCACTTTTTCCCTTTTTTTTTTGAGTGGTTCCGATGCAGAGAGGATTGGGAACTTTTATATAACATTATTCATTCAGCTCCATATGGACCTACAGTATGGAATCTTTCCTTTTAAAATAACAAATAACAAATACTCATCAAAAGCTTATCTATAAAGGTGTCTTGAGCCTGTTTTTAAAAATCTGAATGTTCTTTGTGGCCCTGAGTTCCTCCGGCAGACTGATCCAGAGACGGGGGCTGTAGTGCTGGAAAGATGCCTCACCGTGAGCAGAATGAATGGAGTCTGCTGCCGGAGGAGCGCAGGGGCCAGCAGGGTGAAGGGAGTTTTCAAAGATAAAACGGCCCAAGACCATTAAGACATTTAAAAACCAGTAAAAGAACCTTAAAATCAATTCTGCAACTCAGATAAATCAATGGCAATAAACTTAAGTAAACTGGTGATACATTTTACATCCACAAAAGTAAGGTTTCATCATCATCCCTTTTTATCCCAGCTTTAATTAAACACAATAACCAAAAGGCTATTTTAACATATGGAAATTCTGTATTCATTAAATGTTTTAAGTATGTAAGTACATAATTTTATATGTATGTGTCTCCCCGCCATTTCACCTGTATATTACACATATGCTCTTGTTATATGTCTTGTAAAAAAAAAAAATACATTTCAATACCAAAAAGGAACAGATGAAAACTTATGTCGGCCATCCTGGTTTGCTTAAGCTGCCGTGAGACGTGAATGCGCAGGTTTGCCTTACGTCATAAACAGCTGAGGCGGCTCAAATCAACAAAACACCGTTGTTGACGTCCAAAGGGGCAGGAGAGATGTAGGGTGTGGGGGTGGGTTGTCAGAGGTATGTGGGGTGGGATTGGACTGCGTGTACACAAACACGTTGAATTAGAATTGACGTGTAAAATAGACTAATTACACACATTTATGCCAAGCCTTTGTTTTTGTATTGTTTCTGTTTATTTATTTGTTTAATTCATTTATTGTTTATTTGGATGGGTGTCTTATTAGTCACTTATTGTAAGTGGAATTAAATGGACTTTTGAACACATTATAATCGTCAGAGTTTCACTTGATCATTAAATTATCAGCTCTACCTGCCAGATCCTGTCAAACCTCTGAAGCTAAGCAGAGCTGGACCTGGTTAATACTGTGATGGGAGACCTCTTGGAACATCAGCTGCCACAGTGGAGATGCGATGGCAAATACTGGTTGCCTTGCTTCTGCCAGTGTGCCCCGGGGAAGCTGTGGCCACGGTAGTAGTTTTTATCACCACAGTGTATGGAGTAGAATAATAATCTCACGTGAAGAATCTTAGATAGTCCCAAAAGAGAGTACTATATAAAACCAATGCATTATTATTATGATTTTTTTTTACATTCTAGGTTGAAGTACAAGTAAAAGGATTTTTTAACAATATTCTATTTTTACCTGAAAATAACTGACCGTACATTAATACATGTAACTCTATTACTTGTAATTTACCATTCAGTTCATTTTTTATTTGGACTGATTGAAACCAATGTTCAGGGATTTTGACTGGCTCTAAAGCTGTGGAATGCATTTGTCAACCCCACTATAAAACGGGTCTGAGTTTTGGTCCGGTTTAAACCCCGCAGAGAAGAGAGGCCCCAGACCCGAGGACGCTTTCAAAGGCATCTCGTTACTTTCCCTTTTGACTCAAACTGACTGAATAACTATAATAGTGAATATTGGAATTAGAACAAAATATGATATTTGCTTTGAAATTCTGATTTTCAGACACGTCCCCAGACTTTCACAGACAGTTTTTCACACCTCAGCCTCTTCATCAATTATAATAAATCAGAGCAAGAGGAGGATTCTGTTTTCACTACTGCTTTGTAGACATACTCACGGATTACTTGACATTTATTCCCTGCTCCGGCATCCTCGCTCTCTGACCGCTCCATTCTGGACTCACAATCTGATTAAGGGCTTTGGAAACTCCCTCCTGTGATCAGGACCACTGGGTTAGGAATAGTATCCAGGAGTGTTTACAATCCAGCAAGCAGATTTTATGTAACCTGCATGTTCCCGCGTGGCTAATCCACTTCAGTGTGTGGTAAATGTCGTGGTTAAAGAGGATTAGCCCAAACTATGCGGCCCACAGTCAACACAGCTAACAGTTTCCGGTTTAGTTGTACACAAGAGATTATGACTCCCTCACGTAGTATGAATACTGTAAACAAATGGGATTCTATTGGGAGAGTAAGAATGCATTACACACACTATTCAATTCAGTTCAATGTATTTGTGTATCGCTCTAAATCACAACAGCAGTCGTCTTGGAGTACTTTACAAAGTTGGTGATTCACCAATAACAGATCAGATCAGAGAATCAAGCAGTTCAAACCATGGATCTATAATAATAACTGGATAGGGTACTACTAGCTTATAGCCGTCCCACGCATGGACAACGGGGAACGCCCGTGGTACTGCAGAGTTAATTCACAGGGGCTACCCTGAAAAAGTCCCATAGATCTCAATGTAAGCTAAAACAGGTCGACCTCAGCTGACAGAGAACCTACAGCATTCATAAAGGTCAGATTTTGTGAGGATTTTAGTGTCCCTTGTCATCCTGAACTTCAGTTTTCTTTAAACCCACACTTTACTGCCACAAAATCTGCTGTTTTCCTTCCCGCTCTGGCTCTGCTCTACCGCTGCTCTGATGAGCAGCTCTGATTGGTCAGAGCATGGCCGAGCCCCTTGTGCACGTGCGTGAGAGCTACACACGCACATTTGGCACAACGCATCATCTATCATCGTCCACAAGTGCAATAACAACAAACACACAGACGCCATTGGTCCATAGGGAGCAGGATGATCACTGTTCAGACCTTTGTATACATTTTCATGAATATCCCGGATCATGACTTTAGACCCTCCTACATCAAAAAGTGAGAAATCTCAGCGAGGCCCTCATTGAGAGAGGGATCTGCTCCCATGGAAGGACAGAGGCTGTAGATCCAAGACTGAGGCTGTGAAAAAAAAAGATATATATATATATATATATATATATATATATATATATATATATATATATATATATATATATATCGGTTTTATATTGCACTTTTTTGGACACTCAAAGACGCTTTACATGTCATTATTCATTCACTCCAAACACAGTGGAGATAAACTACTACTGTTGCCACACCTGCCCTGGGGCCCACTGACAGAAGCGAGGCAACCGGTATGTGCAATCGGCCCCTCCGACAACAACAACCATTCACACACACACCAGACTCATTCCAGGCAATGGGGGTGAAGTGTCTTGCCTAAGGACACAACAGCAGTTTGGCACTTTACAGCCACCCATCTGGTGTCTTGCCAAGGGCACAACGACAGGAGACAGCAGTGGGAATTGGTGGAGAAAGTCTTGTGGTGGGCTCGAACCCAAGACCAATGCTCTACCAACTGAGTATTGTTCGAAAGCGGGTTCAATCCCTGATCCAGCACCCTGAGACTGTACGTAAGCCGCAAAATGTATTAAACCAGATTTGTATCCTCCCTTCATTTTCCTCTTATTGTTAAGAATGTTATGGAAATATTGCTGAGTACTGTTTCCGTATAATGCACTTGTGTGTCACTTTCCGTCATGATCCTTCCATACAAAGATCACATACAAAAAAAAAAATCTATATATGTTTTATTTGTATAGACCTATATCACAACAGGGGGCGACAGTGGCGCAGTTGGTAGACTGCATTGGCCTTTGAGCCTGAAGGTTGAGGGTTTGAGCCCACCATAAGTCCTACTTCACGACTTCCACTGAGGTCTGCTGTCGTTGTGTCCCTGGGCAAGACACTTAACCCCACTTTGCCTGAAGCTCCTGTGGACTCACCACCTGCAGGACGATCAGTGAGGGGCTGGTGCTGTGTGTACTGGGTGCAGCTCTGACTGCCACCCCCAACCCAGAAATGGATTAAGGGGAAGAAAATTGATGGATGGATAAATCACAACAGTAGTTACCCCGGAGGATTTAACAATACCGTTGAATTCACAAACACAGATCAGAGAATCAAACAGTTCAAACACAAGAAATGCAATGATGACAGCCATGGATCCAAAAGGGGAAGAAGACCAATGTATAAATGTCAACAAATGTCCATAGATTTTTGTCCTGCTTTGATTCATGGTTGATTTTGTTGTTACATCAGTATAACTCCTCAGCATCCGCGGGTCCTTCAGCCTGAGCTCTGTCCCCCCCCTCCCTGGTTGTAACACGTGAGGTCTGCAGGGGCTGTGATAGTGGCTTTCCAGGATGGGGGAGGAGAGGGGGAGGAGGGGGGGGGCGTGGTGTACCTCCTTAAGAAACCGTCCCGTGCAGAGTGTCCCGGCCGCTGAGAGGAGGACACAATGTTCTCAAACCACAGGCTAATCCCGTCTGCTCAGGGGAAGAAGAAGAGAACAGTGTCACGTTCCCCATGACTTCTGTTTACGGCCGGAACATCGGAAACGAGGCCATGCTCCAGAAATGTAGGTCACAGTCCAGGTGCCACTTTATCCAAGAAAGATGCAGTTCGTTACCTTATTAGTCCAGAGAAAAATAAACTTTTAAGTACTCTGAATGATACTCACTTTCTTCATTTTTTGATTGGTGGAAATACAGATATAGGTTCAGAGATACAAACGGATACAAAGACAACATTGTGGAAGTTTACATGGGGGTGTGTGTGTGTGTGTGCAGTGGTGTGTGTCTTTTTTACCCTATGCTTAAGTTTTAGTAGATTAAAAACACAAAAGGGGAAGTGTGAGGATTAGGACGAGCTGCGATTTTATGATCTGAGTTTTGTGTGAATATTGGTGCTGATAGCAGTGACACTGAGGGCCTCATTTTCAATTACACAGAGTGATTTACATTTGTACATGAAGCATCCTTAACACTAGATCCCCCAAAGCAGTCGATTTGACTGTTTTTAGTTTTGTACGCAGATTTATTCAGCTCATGCACTTTTGGGGTCGTCATCACCTCTAAAATGGCTTTTTTCTATGTCATTATTTTCATTAACTTATCTTGTTTTATTGTAATACAAGAACCAAGCTTGAGCAACACACTGTTTACAGCTAGCAGTTAGCGATTGGTAGCCCTTCAACAAACTAATTTTTGCTGTATTTCAAGTTTCATTCCCTAATTATTACATGTATTAAAGTTGATTAAAGGTAAAAACCTCATAAATGACTTAATGGTGGAACACTGAGTTTTATTGATATTCTTTCAGAGTCTCATTGATGTGAATAGTTTTAGAGTTCAGGGAGTCTTGGCTGTTTTACCCCCAGCGTACCCCAGGTTGGGAAACACTGGCCCACATACCATAGACCTTTTTCTTTTTTTATTGGATTTGCAGTAAAGAGGATCTCCTATACGGGGAAATCCCAAAAACATGTGTGAGCCGGGGAACGTCCACACAAACACGCACGGACGCACACACATACTCACACACACAGACACACACTTTACAGCAATGTTACAGCCATATATATCAAAGTCCACATAAAGTCCACATAAAGTCCACATTCTGATCATTAGCTTGGACATAATCACATGCATTTCATTTCATTATTGTTTTACTGGAACAATGGGAGATGTTTTACTGTCTCTGTAAAACACCTCCCATTGGAGATGTTTTATCCTGGGGGGCATTGTAAGCTCTAATCATCTCAATCAAATGTATAGGTTTCTATGGAGATGCGCTGTTTACGGACCACACTGTGAAGTTTCCATCTTCTCAAAATGTGTATTACTTTTTATTATGTTTGTTTACCATGTATGCTCTGATTATATCTCAGCACCTGCTCAAAAACAAGTCTGAAAGCAAGAGTCCAACACTTAAGCCAAAGAATGAAGTTGTGGATACAAACACTCATTTGTTTTTCGACTGAGCACTCCCTCAGTGACATCAGAGGAGCTCAATGTAGAGCTGCTACTCCTCAAAATAAAGAGGGGCCAGCAAGTCTGTTTGCTTTAGGTGTGGGAAATATAGATGGTTTTCAAAAGGACATTTACAACAACAACAAAAGGAGCCATTGGTCCATAGGGAGCAGGATGGTCATTATGGTCAGCATAATTGTTTATACATGTGAATAAATCTGAATAAATGTCCTGGATCATCACAATCCTACTGAGTTTGTCAATCCAGGACTGAGGCTGTAGAATGAGGACTGACTGTGGATCCAGGACTGAGGCTGTGGATCCAGGACTGACTGTAGATCCTGTACTGAGGCTGTAGATCCAGGACTGAGGCTGTAGATCCAGGACTGAGGCTGTAGATCCAGGACTGAGGCTGTAGATCCAGGACTGAGGCTGTAGATCCTGGACTGAGGCTGTAGATCCTGGACTGAGGCTGTGGATCCAGGACTGAGGCTGTAGATCCTGGACTGAGGCTGTAGATCCTGGACTGAGGCTGTAGATCCAGGACTGAGGCTGTGGATCCAGGACTGAGGCTGTAGATCCAGGACTGAGGCTGTAGATCCAGGACTGAGGCTGTGGATCCAGGACTGAGGCTGTGGATCCAGGACTGAGGCTGTAGATCCTGGACTGAGGCTGTAGATCCTGGACTGAGGCTGTAGATCCTGGACTGAGGCTGTGGATCCAGGACTGAGGCTGTGGATCCAGGACTGAGGCTGTGGATCCAGGACTGAGGCTGTAGATCCTGGACTGAGGCTGTAGATCCAGGACTGAGGCTGTAGATCCTGGACTGAGGCTGTGGATCCAGGACTGAGGCTGTAGATCCTGGACTGAGGCTGTAGATCCAGGACTGAGGCTGTGGATCCAGGACTGAGGCTGTAGATCCAGGACTGAGGCTGTAGATTCTGGACTGAGGCTGTAGATCCAGGACTGAGGCTGTGGATCCAGGACTGAGGCTGTGGATCCAGGACTGAGGCTGTAGATCCTGGACTGAGGCTGTAGATCCTGGACTGAGGCTGTGGATCCAGGACTGAGGCTGTAGATCCTGGACTGAGGCTGTAGACCCAGGACTGAGGCTGTAGATCCAGGACTGAGGCTGTAGATCCAGGACTGAGGTTGTGTACTGCGGCCTCGTCTTGTTTTTAGTGATTACATAAATCAGGGGTGTCACACTCATTTTGGTCTCGGGCAAATACAAAAACATAAGAGCTGCACACTGTAAACCTGCTGTCACGTCATCGTCCGGTCTGAACAATACATTTATTGTGCAATGTCCCAGTCAAATAAACAAAAAATAGAAAAAAATAAAGCTGCTTGGGGCCAGAGGTATAAAATTGGTATAAAAATGTTTGTTTTATTTCAATTCAACAAGTTTGGATATTATCTAGTAAGTTTTGATTCAACTACAACTGGGCCAAATATCAATAAGAGATGTATAGGAACTGCTATAGTTGAACAATAAAGAAAAAATAATTACGTAATTATAACTTCTAATTAGACTTTTTTAACAGGTACAAATTTATGGTTGTTTTGCTGAAACAATAGGCTTTAAAATTAAGTATAACACAGCACTGTGTATGCCATAGTAGCCCCTTACCATCAATACCGCAAGTTACAGCGATAAAGATAATTGCTAATAATTCCAAGGGCCCCTAACAATGGTCTTGAGGGCCCAGTTTTGCCCATGGGCCTGAGTTTGACAAATCTGTAAGTGCGTTAATCTAAATCACACTTAGATTTCCAATTGAATCATTCCATTTGTTGTTTTCTGTGATTGCACGCAGCAGGTCTTTGGGTCGAAGCTGGTTGTGATTTGGGAAGCTGAGGAGAGTGCTGAGTAACGGCCCATAAACTCTCGCTCCGCTCACACTTTATGAAATTTCTAATAAAGTTCCTCACAGACGCAGTGTTCCGGAGTGCAGTGAAACATGGAGCCGAACGGAACAGAGCGGTCAGAGCCCAGACCCCGAGACCTGACCCACTGTTCCCAGTGGTCCAGAGAGACGCCAGCACCACCCACCAATCCAAGCATTCAGGCCTGGTAGAACACACACACACATATATACACACACATACACATGCACGCACACACACACACACGCACACATATATAAATACACACATCCACACTCACACACATACATATACACACACACACACATATATACACACACTCAAATACACACACAAAGATATACACACAGACACATGCACACACGTACTCACACACATATACACGCACAAATACCTATACACACATCCACAAGCACATATACACAGATGCACGTGCACACATATATACATACAGCCATACATGCGCACACATGCAAACACACAAGCATGCACACATAGACTCATACACACACAAATGCACAGGCCAGACCATTTTTAGCGTTACCGCAAATTATTCTCAATTTGTTTAGATAGTGTCGATAGTTACATAAGTCCTACCATGTTGGTTATATCTCATTTTAAAGCTATGTTTCTCAAGATAGGACCATCTCACTTTATTTTAAACATAAAAAATTAGCTATACCCGTTTCTGCAAGGTTTGAGTGTTTAGCACGGCCCCTCAACTCGCTCACAGGCTTCTCATTTCCCTACGCTCTCATCCCACGGAGCCATCTAGTTTTATTTGCGACCTCTATACAAAGCAGTACAACAATCACTGGTGAAATGGTACAAAAGCAACGCACTGCAAACAATATATAATATATAACTGAAAGATTACCGCTAGTTCCACGTCCGAATGTAGACCGAACATAGATAGGCCGAGGCGGTCCCGCAGGTCTCTCCCATAGACTGTAAGTCTCTCCAGAGGATATGGTGTAAGCTAGCCATGTTTACTCGGGCTTGATTTCTTCTTTGATCATTTTTTGCTTTGGTTGCCTCTTTTGCTTCTCTTCCTCACTGTTGTGTCGTTCGGGCTGTGTTGCTGTGTCTGCAGTTACAGAAAGAGGAGTTATAGCCAATTCTGCTAACATGCTACTGTGTTTAGCAGCGCTGTAGAGGCTAGAGGACGCAGTCTCGTTCTTTGATTGGAGGAGAGCGGGCGCCACGCTTTCTACTCGGCATTTTTAGGGCCTGAATTCATATACAAGCTGAATCAAGGAGCTCAAGTTTTCAATTAAATTATGGATTATAATACAACTTGTATGTAGTAATACGCATTTTCATAAACTCATTAAAAAAAAAAAATTGGGTATAGCCTCTTTAGATACAGAAACTCAAAAGAAATTTGAACTTGTTTGGTTTAAAAAAATCTGAAATGAAATAAAAAGTCCGGACTCCTGTTGAATAAAAGTAATCCTTTGGTCAAAATTATTTCTTTAAAGGAATAGGCCACCGTTTTTACATACTGACATATGTTCTTACCTTACCTTAGACTAGTTGATATGTACATTTGTGATCTTTGTCCGTGCGCTCTGTCATGCAAACGGAGCACAAACGCAGCCTCTTCCACAGACTGTATAGTTCCAAATCAGCTCCCGTTAGAAGCTACCAAACTCTTCCACGTGTTCCCTATTTAAATAAAGTTACGTGACGTGTTACACTACAAAGTATAGTAACACAGAAATGTAACATGTCAATTTTCTCAGCGGATAAAAAGGGGTACTATATTGTGAGGCGTAATAATACGAGGAGCGCTACGTCCGCGCACTAACTCCTAAAGACTTCTCTCCCGCTCACTTCCGTCAATAGAAGCAGCGTGAGCGGGAGAGAAGTCTTTAGGAGTTAGTGCGTGGACGTAGCGTACATATCAACTAGTCTAAGGTAAGGTAAGAACATATGTCAGTATGTAAAAACGGTGGCCTATTCCTTTAATACAAACATACAGTATAAATAAAAATGTTATTTTTAAACACAGGTGAAAAACACAGCTTCATGCTACAATGGATCTTCTCCTGACCATGAAAGCTTGGGACAGGATTAGTGTCGACTATCTTTAAAAAGTAAAACACATAGGATGTAAACAGAGGGACAATGTGTGTGTGTGTGTGTGTGTGAGTGTGAGTATATGTGTATGTATTCATGTGGGGGTGTGTGTGTATGTATGTGTGAGCTTATGTGTACGTGTTTGTATACGTGTAAGTGTATGGATGTGTGTGCGCGTGTTCCGGCCCAAAGTAACCCTCTCCATCTGCTGCTGCGGCTCAATGTCCACTTCATTCAACGAGAAAAATCCAAGATTCACCTCCTGACACACAAACAGCTACTCACACTCAAATACGTGCACACACATACACACACACACACACACAGCTGCACACATATATGGGAGTCTGGAGAAATGAGTAAAGCAGGTCTAAAGCACCCACATAGACACAGAAACATACACACACACACAGCCATACATCTACACACATGTACAGGTACACACACATATATAACTACACACATACATAGTAGGTAGAGATGTCTAAAGCCGCGTTCAGACTGGATCATGCGTTGCGGCAACTTTCAATGCAAAATCAGTGGTGACACACACACACACACACACCACACCTGTTTCAGCCATAGTTTTGGCAACATTTACAGTATTTCACAATCACAGTTTTTATCATTTCGAGCTGTACTAAAAACATTCATTTAATATGATTCCAGCCATGCTTTGGAACGCTCTACAAAAAGTTGTTGATTTGAGTATTTGGTCTCGCACAACACAACGTATCGCATCTGTCTTCACCATTTTGTGTCCTCCTTTTGCCCCACAGCACAGCATATTTTATTACCGTGTGCCTAAAATATAAGATACCAGCACTGTAAGAATAAAAAGGTCTTTCATTCATTCAAGTAAGTATGATTTGTGGCATTTTTGGCCGTGCCTAGTCTTCCACAGCGGCTGAACCTCTGCTCTAAGGACACCAGCCTCCGTCTCCTCACGTGACTTTTGAAACCAGCTTTAATTAGATCCAAACCACACTGAACCAATACTACGCTCCTCTCCTGGCTTTCTCTCTCTGTAGTCATGTCAGGCCATCCCCTGTTCTAATTCTTCCCACAGACCTTGCTGTTTTATGCCACATTAAGCCTTTTAATCCTCCACACTTCTGCTATTGTACCATTGCCTCGGGACCCACATACGCTTCTACTTATACCTGCGTTAACAGCCCCTGCCAAAAGCTAAGTGCGCCGTGTTCCTCCAGTCCTGAGCCCGTAGCAATGCACCGGAGTTGTTTTTTTGGATCATAAAAATAAACATAAACAGTGGTAAACATGCTGTACCCATGGCCTGGTCTGGCCCGTGCTCAGAGCATCAGAGAGAAAAAACTCCCCTTTTAGAATTGTTATAGAAATAGAGCGAGTGTGTGTGAGGTTTGGGAGAGTTTTGAGATGATTTTTATACTTAGCTGTTAAGTCGCTGTCCCTGATCAGAGACTTAAAGCTGTAACTGTTACCCTTTTTCATGAATACATTGTGTTTGTCCCAACAGAAAGACTTTGGGCAACAAAAGAAGAAATAAAACCAAAAGATGTTTTCAGATGATTAGAAAACTTTAGCATGGCAGTCCTTTAATTCAGCATATGGTTAGGTAGGTTAGACCAAGCCCAAGCGTTCCAAGATGGCGCCCTATTCAAATCAATGGCTTGTTCTCAGTGGCGCATGTGCTGCCATGGGCCCCGAAAGATTACCGGAACTCGCCTATATTTGGGCATCGTCTGGTCCTCCCGGTTCTGCGCAGTGGACGAGCTCCCAGGATGCGTTGCTCCAAGAATGCGCGTGTGGCTCTTATGCACGTGCACACATGGGCTTGGCCACGCATTGACCAATCAGAGCTGCTGATCAGAGCGGAGCTAGGGTGGGAGTTAGAGCGAGGGCCAATCGAGCAGAGTTTGTGGCAGTAAAGTGTGGATTTTAAGAAAACCGAAAGATTTAGAAAAAGTTCAGGATGACACGGGACACTAAAATCCCCACAAAATCCGATCTTTATGAAAGCTGTAGGTTCTCTGTCAGCTGAGGTCGAGCTGCTTTAGTTTACATTGGGTTGTAGGGGGAAAATTTCCGGGTGAATTTAGTCCCGTTTAGTCTGCCGTACCGCGAAAATCCCCCGAGCACATGGGTCTAAGCTAGAAATGCCTATCCAGGTATTATAATAGATCCATGGGTAAGACTTAGAAATACAACCTTATGTCAAAAAACATGGATTGTCAGTCAAGCTGCATATGGAGACTCTTTGCTGGAAGAAGTAGGTTAACTTGAGCACTATCTCTTCTCCTCTTCCTACTTTATCTGTTATCATTTTGTGGTCTTTATCTGTCAGCTGTAGTCTGTTCATTGCTATTCACCCACTGTTCCATTTCTCCATTGTACTGTTCCATTGTTTCATGTCGGGATGATGGGGCCTTTGATCTGCATCTGTGGACTGTCTCCCCTGACCAGACTGATGGTTATGATTTACGGCTCCACAAAAATAAATTTAATTGAAAAGTTTGGACATACCTGGTCTGGGGCCTCAAGGAGCAGTTGTCGCCAGATGTTGATTCTCAGGTCCAGAGCTGGAAACTTTACTATGTTTTTAGAGGAAACCGGAGAACATAGAGACCAGAGCAATGGGAGGAGACCATGCATGGAAAATTCAGAAATGCCCGGCCGGGAGGGGTCATCGAACTTGGTGGTCTCTCTCTGGTCTCTCTCTGGTCTCTCCGGTCTCTCCCTGGTCTCATTTTGGTCACCGTTGCTGGTCTCTCTCTGGTCTCCCTACAGGGTTGGGCGAAAACAGAATAATCACACTCGAAAACACTTTGGTTGGAAAAACAGCAAGTAAAATTGGCTAAATGCAGCTTAAAGATGCAGTCAGTGATTTTTTTCCAGATACATTTTTGTGCATACTGTGGGAAAACGTCCCTAAACCCTAAAAGTAGTCAAGTAATCATGTGTTTTCAAATAGTAAGGGAGATTAACCAGATGCCTATTGTCTCCAAAAACTAACAAATAAGACTTTGGAGCGGA